TCACGACACTGCAATGGCTGCCGTCGTTGACCGCTCCGCAATGCGCCGCTCGGTCTCAACGGCCTCACCTTCCGGCGGCGTGTGGCCGACAAGAACGCGGCCGCTGGCGACGAGGAGAGCGCGCCGAGCTCGCGGCCGCAAAGGCTACTCGGCGCCCTCAAGGGTGTCTTGCTTGAGAAAGCGCCCGGACCCAAGTCGCCGCAATGGTGGACTGAGTTCCACCGGCTCAAGGCCGCCAACGTCCTTCGCTGGGAGGCCGCGAGCGTCACCGAGTCGGATTTTATTGAAGTCTTGTACGCGGGGAGCGACGACCAGCAAAAATCCTATTTGCGCCAAGAGTACCCGACGCTACTGTCGCACCACCAGGAGCGCTTTACGGTAAGCAACATCCGATGCTTCTTCGAAACGACTCGATGTAGGTGTGGCCGCGACCGACGCAGGTCTGTCCTGTGACGCCGTACTCCGGGCGCTGTGCGGCGACCAGCATCGCACCGTCGCCGTGTCTCGCGACATTAATCGACACGCTGCGCACGTCGCTGGGCTGGACGCGCCACGAGACGTCGGCGTTTCTCAAGTCGCTTCAAACCACCGCCCACGTGCACTCGGCGGTCGACTACGTGTGTGCCCGCCGCCAAGCGCTCACGCTGCCTCTCTCAGTGGCCTACCCGCGCATCACCCGCGCGGTCTGGAGTACACTGGACGAGGCGGCGCAGCAGCTCCTCACCCCCGATGACACGAGCTACATTGCCTCGCTGCCATCGTACGTATGCTCCTGATTTACATATCAAGAAAAAAATCAAGTTGACACATTAAGTGTCCCACGCCTTTTCGTACTCAGTTTGCTCGGCAAACCACCGACGCAGTTCAGTGTGGCCATAGCGCGCATGGGCGGCGTCCTCGTCAAGCGTAAAAAAGTCGAGCGACGCCAAGCACGCGACAATGTGCTGGCCAAAGCCACTAGATGCTTCGTCTACCAGCGCATGCGATCGCAATGTAAGGAGACGCGCAATCAAGATAGGGGCACCTCGCTTGGACATATGCAAGAGCAGACGAAGCACCGTTTCCTTGGCGCGCTCGGTCGCCGGCGTGTGTCCCTCGATGGCATCGAGCATCGTCTGCAGCTGGGCAATGGACATACTCGCACCTGGACTGTGTCAGCGACATGTACGAGCTGTGTACGACGGAGAGCTTACTCTGCATGTTGAGCCAGCATTGCAGCAGTAGGTCGTCAAGCGACGGGCACTGCCGCTGGAAGAGGTCACGGGCCATTGATGGAAGCGTGTCACGACTGAGGAGCTCGGTCGCGTAAAATTCTAGCCAGACGATATTGGGCTCGTGCAGCGAAGACAAGAAGAGGCGGACCCCACATGGAGAGGTTCTTGAGGAGGCGGGCGCAGGCGAGCTTTGTGGCCACGTCGTCGTCCGTGTACCAGCCGAGGTAGATGTCGAGGTTGCTCGGCGCTCCGATCACGTGGTGGTTGGTGTCTAGCATACCATTGATATGCATGCATCTACAAGCGTCATGTACCGTTGACAACGAGGTTGGCGAGCGCAGTGAAGATCGCCGTTGCGCAGGTTCGCGTACAGTCCATGTCGGCAAGCCGCTCGGTGAGGGCCGCGATGCCACCATGCGCCGCGATCTGGTGCTGCAGTGGCGCTACAGTGCAAGCATGCAGTGAGCTACGAATGGGACGTGATGAAGCGCACTGAAGGCGGCAAGGTTGCCGAGGCGCACGACCGCGGCTTCGACGAGGAGCGAGCCTTCGCACTGATGCAGGATGCGGACAAGCTCCGGGATCGTCTTGGCCTCCATGTCCAGAAGCGTCTCATCTCGAACGACCTCGTCATCGTCGGCCGCGCTCTTTGGGCTGCATGGACGAGCTTCGTCTCGGCCCGTCGCGAGCCACAGGTAGGCGCAGGACGCTGCAGCCAATGCTACGACCAACGTAGCTGCGTCGCGAGATCCCATGCACACTAATTCTATCCAAACAAACCACTGCACCGTCTTTTTCAATCATACAGTATTTACGTGACGTGACCCGCGCCAGCTCACGACGCTCGATAACGGTACGTTCTAGCGCCGCCAGGGTCGTTCCTTGTACGCTTCTACCACACACTAAAGCATAGTGAGCGCTTCAAAGCGCAACGGATGTGCGTGCGTCGGACGCGGACGCGATCTCGGGTGCACACGAAATAGTATAATGAGTCGCATATAGTGTGAAAAGAGGTGTATCTTGAAGAGGCGTCAGTTGAAAAATAATGCCATCGAACGACGTCCAGCTGCCGCGCATCTGCTTTGACGACGAGTACCGCGTCCGCGTGCTCGAATTGGAGAAGTTTGTGCACACGCAGGAGCTCGAGACCGAATGCAACCAGTTCGTCTCCAGTGCGTTCGCTCCATATGCCGCATCTTGCCTCACATTTTCGTAGAAATGGAG